GATTCATTGCGGATTTGCGATACAGTATTGATTTGCGGATTCATTGCAGATTTGCGGATTCATTGCGGATATGCGGACTCATATGCACAATTCAATTCTTAAATCCGCAATACTGCAGATTTGGAAAAGCAATTTCAGCGCCATCCTTAACCTGGTGTCAGATTCTTGATCTTGGTTAAGAGATGCTTGCTTTGCTTTACTAAGTTTCTTTCTATCAGCTTGGCGCTCCTTATTGCATTGCTTTATTTCACTACTAACGATTTTCTTATGAGCCTCAAGCAAGAAATTATCCATCTCTTTCTCCTCTAACGGTTTTTCATGATGGACCGCATCCAAATTGAAGTTAGATGAGTTATTGTTAAGGGTAATATTTCCCTTTGAATCATTTTGTACCTGGTTCTGTTCCACTTTCATGACACGATCTCTAAGCTCAGCATTCTCAGATTTCAACTCCTCGATTGTGGCCCCAAGTTTGGCATTTTCAGCATCACGCTTGGCATCTTTCTCCATAACCTGCTTTAGAAGTTCAGCATTCCTGGCCTCAATCTCAGCTTTTTCAGCCTCAAGCTTGGCGTTCTTAGCTTTTTTTCTCTTGGTTCATCTTCTTCTATTTCAGCTTCTTCATATAATATATCCTTGTATTTTCTAATAATGATACAATTAAAGATCAAATTCTTAAATATACCAAATATCCAACCATTCAAGAATATAAAGCCTACTCTGAAAAAGTTCTAAAATAATTGCAGCCAGAAAGGATGAAAGAATTAAAGAAGAATAATCAATGGGAAATTATATTCCAAAATGCAATTATAGGCGCAGTATGTAAATTTATTTTAAAATAAATATATATATTATTTAATATTTGTATTTTATCATTTCTAAAATCTAGTTAAAGAAAGTTATTTGAGATTTTCATACAAGCACTATTGCCTCTATTAAAAAATAGACTTTTTGAAGTATTCTCTCCCAATATTCAAAAACTTAATGCTACTCTTGATAGCAAGGTGATCTATGATTGGAAATGCAGTAAATCAACTTGTAAATGTCTCAAAAAATTGAGTAAAACTTATCAAGATACTAATCATACTTATCAAGATGAAATTATTATACGTGTTTGACCTTCTGAATTTACTTCAAATGATAGAATCTTTGCAATGACAATTTGTTATTTTATTTTACATAAAGATTATGATGGAATGAGTTGTAAATCTGAATACATTATCAGAATTATGAAAAAGTTAGAGGCAAGTATTAATTTTAAGTTTCTTATAGAAATTTTTACACATTAATTACATTAATTAATAATATTTATTTATAGAATACATTACAGGACGAATAAACAAAGAATTGTAATGTATTACAGTTAATATATAATACAAGTGAATAGATTAGTAGATTGTAAATGCGTAATAAATTTGGTTAAATTTATACAATTTATTGCTTAGAAATGTACAAAATATTTACACAAAAATGTACAAAATACTGAACAATAAATTTACATTATTAAATATGCAAATAATAACTAGTAATTTCAGCAAGATTTTGTGCATTTATTGCGATTTTTTTATGCATAAATTGCACATTAAATATTTCCCGATGATAGTTATCTGATAAGCTGCCAAGTTTGGCGCATTGTAACCGGGAGGATCAGTGATAGGGTCACCTGAATATTTTTTAATGTTCCCAAAATCCCAACGTTGTACTAGCATTCCTTGACGGTAAAGTTTGGCCTAATATTTAAAAAACAAACTAATCAGATAAGAAACTACATGCTTAACTTTGTATTATTGAACAATAAATAATATATACCGTCATTGTTCTGTAATAATAACCGGTTGTGGGCTCTCGCATGTTTAGTATTGGTTCTAAGATCTTGATGTTAATGACAGCACGGACGTATGGCTCTCGCATCCAAGATAAGCACTTTCGTCCCAATTCACCAACACTTTGGCCTACAGCTACCTCACACATTATCCGTGCATGTGGATTTCCCTATATGAATCATAATAATGAAAATCACAAAAAAACAACAATACAATAATACACATCAAACTCAACATACACATTTATCACCAGGAGGACGAGGTATTACAGTGGAAGCGGCAGGTTTTGGAACAAATGCCACACTTGGAAGTACACAAGCATCAGGAGCTGTTTCAACCCTAGTTCCACCAGGCACATAGTGAACTATATGAAAAGACCATGAGAATATTGAAAATTCAATAAAAGAAGCAAAATAGAATATATTCACTTACGAACTTGACCAGTGACTATTATTGGGGGATCATCAACAACGCCATTATTAGGAACTTTAAAAAATTCTTGAAGTCGAATAATAATATCCTCATGCGCGGTTGAGGTCATACCAATTATATACACTTCGCCAGTTGTATTGTCACTGTTTAAATTAAACCGAAACTTGTATCCACTTGATCCGTAATGGTGAAGGAAGGTGTTATAATTTTTGATTGTTACTTTAGAACCAATGTGGAGAGGCAAACTGCATTCCATACAAAGTCAACATTAAGTGGTACTTAAGTAAATAAAGAAATACTCTCATACACTTACCTGCTCTTGCTCTCTGTTACCGAGTTTTTTGGTAATTTCGGGTAGTTATGTAAAAACTCGTCAAGCCTATCAAAAATCCTTGCCTACCAAATATCGTCTGAAGTACGTGCACGAGACATAATTTATTGATCAATTTTAAGAGAAAAAAAAGAGAGTTCAATTTAAGAAAAAAAAGAATCAATTTTAAGAGAAAATAATGATAACTTATACATCATTATTGGACTAAATGGGGAAGATCGACCTGGTATTTATTGGATGGGATAAAAATAACGTATAGTATTACAGAACAGGCCGCAGAGAATTTTAGAAGTGGGGTTGTTGAATCTGTTAATAAAAAACCGCGACTAAGAGACGTCGCGCGCATGAAAAGAGAGTAAAATTAGGCAGTATAACTTATCTTCATCATGTATCAAAAAATAATTTTATTGCCTCGTAATATTCGTAAAAAAAAAGCTGTTTATAAAATTTTTTATTATTCAGTGTAGTCCGCATGTGATTCATTACACGTGATATGTAGTTTGTGACGTCGTTATGCGCCTTAGTATTTCTTTTTAGCGGGATCAAACCGATTCTCGACTCATGTATCCGCAGGTCAACGCACCGAATATAATGATGAGATCGAAATTTATTGGGTCAAATTCACTGCCATTTTTGACCGGAGAAGATAAAAGAAAATCGCTCTCTCGCACAACTGCACAATATACTGTCTTCTTAGTCCTGGCGGCACATTAGCCAGCTTCTATTGCCATCAAAAATCTCCAAGAAAGACTTCGATGGATAAAATCATACCATAGATTGAGAAAGAAGGGGAAAGGGTAGTTAGTAGAGATAGCAGTAGTATTATCAATGCCGAAGTTAGTAAGAGTTAGTAATGTGAAGTGCTTAGTGAGGGGTATAGTGGCTAGCAAATTCCTCACTTGAAACATCCACTACCCGCTTCATTTTACATAACAACCCGACTCCTAACTCAAAAATACAATAAAAGTTTTACTTTGATTTATTGAACGTATGACCGTAAAAATAATTTTTTTATAAAGATAGATACGTAGAATGTGGTGGTAACATCAGATACATGCTAATAGAATGTGACCTCGAGGTCACAATGTCACGTGACGCATAATACTATCTTGCGAACTTAGTCAATATATCTGATATGGTCTATGTCATTCTGTTTTAACTTAGATATTGTCAACGCAAAGAAAGATTTAATCCTCTGAATCATATGTTCGTCGATTTCACTGAATAGCTTATAAATCTTCAGAGCCCTTTCCTTTTTCTTCCTAAGTGCAGAGACAGGGAGTTGTTTTCTAACTTCTTCATTAACCAATGTCTGAGCCGTTCGCTTGGGATTATTTTCCTTATAATGCTCATATCGATCAGCGAGTGCTTTTCCGAAATTATAATACGACTTAATGACGTCTTGATTTGCAATCTCGACCTGCCCTTCCGTATTAATGATTGCATTGTACAGATCAAAAAAACTTTCAGTTCCCTCTTCCATAACCTCCAGACTCCGGGATGTTTCAGAGGATAGTTCTTCGATAATTTTTTTTAGTTTATCTGATTCTTTCTTTCCACAAGTCTTTTTAGCCTTTTTGCAAGATGATTTTTCGGTAGATGCGGTAGATGCAAGAGATGCGTCCGTTTCATTACCTCTGTTAACTTCCCTAGAACGTTTTTTCTGACCCAGTATTTGCACCTCTTCGTCTAACATTCCTAGTTCGTTCGTAAGTAATACATCAGCGTCCACATCCATGGAAGCAGACGACATATTACATATTAACACAAAAAGAAATCTCAATAATTAGATTTCTACTAAAATATACCATTAGGGAAGTTAATTTATTCTTTTAACTAACAGTAGAGAGGGGATATACGGTATCTGTAATTGTATCTATCAAGTTTTCGACCAATGATATGACCTCTGACGTATGCATTGTGCCCAATTATCAGCTATACGGTATAACATCTGTCCACAATTCATTATTCCTATATCGTCCGATCATTATTAAGCGGAAAAAAAAAATATACAAAAAAAACTATTATGACAAAAATCTGACCATTATTTGGGCATCCCTCTTTATATATTCATTATTTATTAATTATTGTCAGGGAAAGATAATTTCCGTAATACCGTCGGCGAATTTTTCAATTACTAAGTCAGGTCATGTATAGACGGATAAATTGGGTTAGATTGTAGAAATTGTGTGGCTAAATATCAGGTATTCGTACCTGTTTTAAGTATATATAATATGAAAAAAAATTTTTTCATCCAATCTTTTTTTTCCCAATTTTTCTCCCCATATTTTTTTTAATCGAAGATGAAAACAGATTTATTTTCGGTATTATCTAGGGATTTAAATGAATTATTTAATGATCATGAAGAACAAAATGTCGTAATACAAGTTGGTGATGAAGTAAATTATAAAGAATTTTATGCTCATTCAATTATTTTGAGAGCAAGATGTAAATATTTTAAATCAGGATTATCTTGCGATTGGGTAAAAAGAGAAGGGAATCGAATTATTTTTAAGAAACCTAATATTACTCCTGAAGTTTTTGAAGTTATTTTGAAGTACGTATTTAGTATTCATAAATTTTAATAGTTTCATGAAAAGATGATCATTATTTTTTTTTTTAATTTTTTTATTACAAATTTCGTAGGTATATATATAGTGCTACTATATCATATGAAAAGTATGATGTGATGCATTTATTGGATGTATTAGTAGCAGCTGATGAATTATTATTATCAGAAATGGCGGAATCTATACAAGAATATTTATTAAATCATAAAGCAGACTGGTTACAAAAAAATTTTACAACATTATGGAGAAAAAGTCGAGAATTTGATTGGTGTGGTAAAGTACAAGAATGTTGTCAATCTATAGTATGTAATGAACCGCATTGTTTATTCGAATCACCAGAATTTTTAACATTAGAAGAAAATTTAGTTATCGCATTTTTGAAATTAGATAATTTAATAATGGAAGAGATTGAAATTTGGAATTATTTATTAAAATGGGGTAAAGCACAAATTCCACCAAAAGAAGATGGAAGTCCAGCAATTGACGATTGTGAACGTAATTGGAGCGAAAAAGATATTAAAGCATTAGGTGAAGCATTAAAAGGATGTATACCACATATAAGATGGTTTCATATTGAACCAAGTGAATTATTTAATAAGATTTGGCCATTAAAAGAAATTTTTCCTCAGGATTTATTAGAAGAAATTTTTAGACATCATTTTACCCCTAATTTACCAATAGATTCTTCTACATTTGTTTATTATAAGCCACAAAGACCTCTCCCATTCGAATCAACTATATTGCAACAACATCATATTGCTAAATTAGCCAATTGGATCGATCGTAAAGAAGGAGATAATCTTTATACGTATTTTACAATGCCATATAATTTTAAATTACTTGTAAGAGGAAGTAGAGATGGATTTGGCAGCGGAACTTTTCATGATAAATGTGATTCAAAAGGTGCAAGTATAGTAGTTATGAGAATTAGGGGTACAAATGAAATTTTAGGTGGTTATAATCCTGTTCATTGGATGACGGGAAATGGTCACCTTACAACTGAAGACAGTTTTATATTCAATTTGGGTAGAACCCCACCTGATAACAATGTTGAAGAGGGATTATCACCTTATACATGGTATAATTTAAATGGAGTTAAAATTAGTAGACCAAGAAGACCCGAATACGCTGTTAGAATTAAAGATAGAACCTGTGGACCTTGTTTTGGTGATAAAGATTTATGGATGACAAGTAATTTTAATGAAGATGAAAATTGCTCAGCTGTTAAAGATGATTATGATTTTGAAATTACTTCCACAGAAAAATTTGCGGTGGACGAATATGAAGTTTTTCAAGTTTTAAAGAAAGTGGTTATTAAAGATGCATCAAATTCCGTTACGACGAATAATAATGAAAACGAAAACTTACTAGGAGGAGGAGATGACGCGACAGTTGATGCAACGAATGACGTAGATGTAGGAACTGTGAATGATGTGAATGATGTGAATGATGATGGCATTGATACAACTAACGCAGCTATCACAACTAATACAACTAATGTAATAGAAACAACAACAAATGATGATTATAATGATGATGATGATGATGATGATGATGATGATGATGAAGGGGAGTCTTAATTAACCAAATTAACCATATAATTATTTCTTTTTTTTATACCTATATATTATATTTTACTATATAATTGAAGAATTATTAGAATTATTTTAGAAGATTCGATTTTTCTTGTTCTTGGTGTTAAATAAATTTGATGATTTAACTATTTCGTTCGATATAAGCTAGGGTTGACACGTTTAAACTTAAAAGACGTTACACGAAGGTCATATGACGTAAGATAGTAGTAGTAACCCTAATATAATTCAGGTCATGTTACTTTAGGTTTGCAAAATAAATATTTATATGTTTAAGATCGAAAAATGGAATTTCTCAAGATAAAGTATGCACAATTAGTGTTTAAGAAAATTCTCTTTTCTACTTTCTTTTAGAAAGGGAAAATAATTTCTAACTTTGATTGTTCTATTTTTGTGCAACTTGTGAAAGACCTACCAATTAGCTATCATTAATATTCGAATTTGATTTGTTCTGTTATCGTAGATATCTTTCAAATAAATGCTTTATAAATCCCGACTCTTTGTTCCAACTCTGTTACTCTATTTCGTAATTCTTTGTGTCATTTTGGTAGTAATTGCCTAATTCTGTTTTGTAATTTTCCCTAAAAAATAGGAGTCTGATACAAAATTCATATTCCATTTATTAGTAAGCAAGCACGGGATAATGAAACAACAAAATAATTTGCAACGGGGCAATAATTTTTTAAAAGGGGGCTATTAGTTCCTTACTTACAAACAAAAACAAAAATAATACCCAAATTAGAAATTTAGAACAGTTGAATCGTATTACCTTTAGGGCTCAATTTTTCGTCTTTTTGGACCCTGCGAGTCGATCGACGTTTCAAATTTGCAATGGACAATTGGTTATTATTGTGATTTTTATGATTCTCAAAATATTTAATAATGATGGATAAATTTTATAACGAATCCATACTTAATAAGATTTAGTGTAAATCAAAAATTTTTAAAATATTGAAACCCAAAGCTTATTATTATTAACAAAGAGAAAGTATATCTCTTTAAAAAGAATAAAATTCTGAAAAATAAATTTTTTTAATCCTGATAATAATATGACTATTAATGTTTTTAAAAATAAGTAAAGTAAACCTACGTTACTTATCGGTTACTAACCTAATGTTTATTAAAACCTGAAACAATGCCTAAAAAATATTTGAAAATCTTATTATCCTTGTAAAACATTATCCTTGTAAATCACGTAAATGTAAAAATTAATTTAGTACTTAAATCGAAACACGTTAGATTGAATTTTATTTACTAAATTTTTGAATTAACTTTTGCATAAATTATAATATTTGAAAGTATTACAAGAAAAATCCGTTTATAGTGTTTATATTTATATTAAGTATTTTATAAATATTATGTAGTTAAATTGATAACACGATTTATAATTTGATATAATATTGTTTTATTAAATTTTTTTAACGCTCAAAACATATCGCGCATTGGAAATTAAAATATATTACATGAGATGTTTTTTTTTTACATACATAAATATAATAATAAATTGAATTTATTTAAGTGTACATGGAAAAAAAAATAAAGAAATCAATTCATTTAAAGGAAAATTTACAAAATAAAATAAATAAAAATAAAAATAAATATACAATTTACAATATACAGTGCAATTCTCTTAAGAATTTGCAAGTGTATCACTTTTTGATAACTTTGAAAACTTCATATTCGACAGCTGAAAATTTACGATGTTTGACAATTGGAGCTTCATAATCATCTTCTTTACAACTACAACTATCCGTATGAGAAAAATTACCTTGCATCGAAAGATCTTTATCACCAAAACAAGGACCATAACTTTCATCCTTGAGAGGTATGGCATAATTAGCCCTTAATACTCTGCTAATTTTAGCATCTTCTAAGCAACCTCTATTACCAAATGAAAATAAGAAACTATCCCTCGTTTCTAAATGACCAGTTCCAATTTGCCATTTAATAGGATTATATCCACCAATAACTTCACCTGAAACGGCAATTTTCATTATAACGAAAGTAGGTCCTTGTTCATCACATTTTGCATGAAATGTTTGTGAGTCAAATCCATCTCTTGTTCCCCTTACTAACAATTTAAATTTATATGGTAAATCTACTCCAGTATAAGTTGGTGAATCTTTCCTATCAATCCAATCTGCGATACGAGACATTTGTTGATGTCCAACCAAAGTAGAATTTCCTCTTGGTGTATTTACTCCAAATGTTGGTTTACTTCCAGGTTTTAAATGACATCTAACTATATCATCTTCTAACTCGGGGGGTAAAATTGCTCTAAATGGCCAAACCTTATCATATAAATCACTTGAGCTCATTTGAAAGAATCTAACTAAAAATATACATTCTTGTAAAGTTGAGGATAATGCTTGAAATTGTTCTGTACCCCAATCTCTTATATTTGCACTAAAAGAAAGATGTTGTGCTAATCCCCATCTAATAACTTGTTCCCATACTTCATCTTCTGCCATATCTAAATCATCCCTTTTTAATATTGGTGTTAATAAAGATACATCTAATGAAAGAAAATTCGCTGATTTAAATAATAATTCAGGATCTGATGATATAGTCGCTAGTATAAATTCTCTTAATTTTTCACATGATCCATGAGCCAAACTTGTTTGATAAATTTTTAAAATACTAGAATGTAACCATTCATTTTTCGTTTCTATTAAATATTCTTGAATAAAATCCAATAAATCATTTAACAATAATTCATCAGATGCTGCTAATATCTCCAATATTTCCATAATATCTCGATCGATTAATGAAATTGTTCCACTATATATATAACTAATTGAGACAAAAAAAAATTTATATATAAATATATAATGAGTGCATATACATACTTATGTACATACTTTAATTAACTCATGTTTTAAAATGATTTTTTTTATATTTAATTATAATACTCACTTGAGTATGATTTCAAAAACCTGAGGGGAGATATTAGGTTGTCTGAGAATATTATCATCACCTTCTTTTCTAACCCATTGTTTAGAAAGAGCTGTATGAAAATAAGATGACCTTGCTCGAAGGATTAATGAATGCGCTTGAAAGACTTTTTGATTATCCCCTTCTCCAACATAAATTGCAACATTAAATTCTTCAGAATTATTAAGTAAATTAATAATATCATTTGAAAATATCGTAAGTAACTTGAAAGACATGATTTGCAATTGATAAAAAAATAATGAAAAAAAGAGAGAGAGAGAGAAAAATGGAAAATATCTAAAAATACGTAATATTTATACAAAAAAAAACATAAACAACATAACGCGCTTAGGCATTTAATACATATGCTGCACATGGTAATACATTTACACATAATAGTTCGGATTTCGCCCCGATCCTTTCAAATTTCACAAACTCCAAAGGATCGGCAGAAACGAAAATAACTTTATTTTTTTTGTGTAAAGGATTTACTTTACGTCCGTATAGTGTAACAGGTAATAATACATTTTATTGTGAATATATTGTGACGATGACCTATTTGCGCAGCAACACCTCATTAATTATTCTATTTATAGATAACTTGACAGTTTCTTTTAAAGAATAAAATAAACAATGATCTTCATTATCAACTTTATCAACTTATCAACAACCTAATTTTTAGTGCCGAGGGGAGCATGATACTAAGAGTACCTTCGTGGACATCTTGATATTGATAATCGGTTTATTGATTTTCGTTAGTATAATTTCACGTAAAAATTTGATCATTAAAAAAAAATTTGTTCTTTGTTCCTTGTTTTTTTTTTTGTTTTTTTTTTGTGAAAGAATCCTCATGTCTTCTTTAGCTACTTGTCTTTTTTGTAAAATCATTAAACGTGAAATTCCTTCTACCAAGATTTTTGAAACTGAACTTAGGTAAAAAAATTTTCGTCAAAACTAAAAATAAAGGAATAAATAAATATAATATTTTATTTTCTTTAAATTATCGAATGATTGGAACCAAATTATTTACTATCGTAATAAAAGTTATGCGTTTTTGGATATCGGACCATTATCTGAAGGACATTCGGTAAGATAAATGATTATCTCATTATCGATCAAAAAATTTACAAACGATCTAATCTGTTCGCTAAATTTTTTTTTTTTTTTTAGCTTGTAATTCCAAAACGTAAATAAATACAATTCTCTTTTAATACATTACAATAAAATTTTTTTTAAAAAAAAACCTTCTTCTGCATAATAGATCACGCTAAATTTTTACATGAATTACCTGACGAATATTTGGCTGATTTATTACCTGTAGCAAAAAAAGTTGCTATTGCTACAGGTGCTGATCAATATAATATTTTACAGGTAAGTAATTTTTTAAGATAAATAAGAGTTTTTATTAAATTTAAATTAATCAAATATTTATTTTATAATAGAATAATGGACGGCTTGCTCATCAGGTAAATCTATTTATGTTCTATTTATTTATTTAATTTTTTTTTTTTTTATTTTTTATTTAGTTATCGTCTCACATTTATTTTCGAAATATTTAGGAAGTAGATCATGTTCATTTTCATGTGGTAAGAAAATTATTTATATATATTCATTAAAATCATTTATTAAATTTATTTATAATTTTCAATTATTAAATTATTATTATCATCGTTATTTACCAAAAAAATAAGATTCCAAAACCTAATGAAACAGAAGGTTTAGGTATTAAATGGCCAGCTAAAAAACCTACCTTTGAGGAAATAGAAGCTACTGGTAAAAAAATGTTGGAGAGGTTACAATCAGATTAATCAACTATTTGAAAACAAAAAAATGTGTGAAAAATCATGATTTGTATAATAAGATTATTTATTAAAAAAATTAAAAAAATTTTAAATTGTAAATAATATACATATATGTATTTGAAAATTTTGAATGATGTTTTAAATTGATTAGCTAATCTATCTACAATAAGATATAATATGCTTAATTAAATATTAACAATAATCTATTATATACATAATGTACACATAATGCTTTAAATCTTTACTATTGTAAGTACGATTAGCAAGGTAGGATGGCGACTTCGTAAATTGTTTCAAACTATTATTAAGAAATTCCTGCACATCCTTGTTATCGTTAAATATTTTCAGTATATTATAACAACTCGTACATATTTATATATGGATTATAAAGGTTATTTATTCTTTTTTAATCGACCATTTGTTAATCCAATCTTTAGCTTTATCTAAAATTTCTTTTATGTTATCACTTTTCATCAACTTTTTTAAAGCTCTATTTGCTTTTTCAAAACACATTTCGCATTCTTGCTTAAAATCTTTCCATATGACAATTTCCAAATAAGCTATTGACACACTCGTACACCATGATTCATCATCATATTCTGAAGGTTTATCTTTCATAGGATTATTTTCATTAAAAAATGAATAAAATTGTAATGTTGGTCTAAATATTCCATCAAATGATTGAAATTTTAAAAATGTCATTAATCCATCAAATGATGCGATCCTTGGATCAAATTTTTTATTATCATTATTTGTTATCATTGTTGTTAATGTTGACCCTTCTCTTAACTCTTTTTTCGTTTCAAAAAAATTTATTGTATTGTTATTGGTCTGTAATGTAGTTGGTGTTGTTCCTATAATGCTTAAACCAGATGATGTAATTAGATTATTTAAGAAGGCAAATTTTGAAGTGGGAGATGGTAAAACAAATAATGGTGAAATGGATGAAGTTATATTAAGACTATCAAATAGTGAAAGAGTGGTGGTGGGGGTATTAAAACCAAAAGGAATTGGATTTTGCATATTAAGATTATATGGTAATGCATTTTGTGGAATTTGCGTTGCAAAATTTCCTAAAAGTGGCTGAGGTTGTATAAGCTGTGGTTGTGGTAAATGAAAAGAACCAAATGCTGATTGTGGTTGAAATAAATTAGCTGATGAGGGTTGTGCTAAGCCAAATCCCCCAAAATTGGCTGCTGTTTGCGCAAACCCAAATCCTCCATAAACTGGTTGTGATTGTGCAAAAGCATAAGAAGGTTGTGGGTGCACAGAATTTATTCCTCCAAATACTGGTTGATTTGGGATACCATTAATTCCATCAAATGTTGGTTGAGTTTGAAAACCCCCATATACAGGTGATTGTCTATTACCAAACCATGATTGATTTATAGAGCTAAAGCTTGGTAATTGTGTTGCAGCCACACCAAAGCCAAGTCCTGATGGCTGTGATGGTGATACTCCAAACCCCCCGGATGGTGTATTTGCTTTGAAACCAAATCCTGATGGCTGTACTCCAAATCCTCCAGATGCCAACCCTCCAGATGATATAGTAGCTGCTCCAAAACCAAATGCTGGCGCAACCGGTCCAGATGGTAAAGCTTGTGTTGTAGCCGTGGCTCCAAAACCAAATGCTGGTGCTACTGTTCCGAAGGGTAAAACTTGTGTTATAGGTGTTCCAAAACCAAACCCTCCAATTGCAGATGATTTTGTAGTGGCCGTTCCAAGACCAAATACCTGTGTTGTTACTCCAAATGGTGAAGCTTGCGTTATAGGCGTTCCAAAGCCAAACCCTCCAACTGTAGACGACTGTATAGCAGCTCCAAAACCTATTGTCCCAGATGGTAAAGCTTGTGTTGTAGTAGCTCCAAATCTTCCAAATGCAGATGCTTGCGTAACAGCCGCTCCAAAACCAAACACTGGCATCTGTGTTGTTGCTGGCCTAAACAGTGATGGATATGCTTGTGTAGTCGCTCCAAATTGGGTAGTAGCTTCGGATTGTTTAGTAATCCATTGATTTGGTCCTATCTTCTTAAATAAAATAACTTTGTCAATATTTTCTTTTTCTTCGTTCGCTTTATTACGTTCATCAACTGCTATAAAACTTCATAAATTTTTTAAAAAATTATTAATAAAATAATCAATAAAGGTAAAAACATCAAATCTATTTAATTATACATACCTTGTGTATTTCGAAACAAGATTAAAAGTTTTACCTAATGTGACAATTTGTTTTCTTATAATAGAAGCAGGGACTGGTTTACCACGAAATTTTGGATGATTATGTATATAAGAAGTACCATCTTCTAGGGTTTGAATAAGTTTTCGTGCAGCTAAAGTATGAATTTTTGATCCTTTTAATACAATTGGGTCAACAGGTATTTCAAGTTTCATAGGTCCATTTTGTGACATTGCGGATAATAAAATACTCTTTTTAGCAGTAAAATCTTTAGGCATCATACAATAAATAATAAATCTAACCCCAGAATAAATTTGAGGAATTTCGTAAGGAGCTTGACGGACAACTATATTATCGACAAAATCATAATTTAAAGATTGTTCAGATGAAGATATTTCATCATCATTAAAAAAGCTGATAATTGGTTTATCTTTAATTTTTGTATCAGAATCTTCAGAAGAATCTTCAGAAGAATCATCTATAACGTTAACATCATCACTCCAATTAATTTGATAATCTTTAATTGGAGATTTAGTCCCATTTTTTAACATTCCCAATAATTTTTTATCCATCTTTTCAGTATCGGTAACAAATTGTGCATAACCTTTACCAGCACGAGCTAAAGATTCCACCAAATTTGTTGAAACATTACTACCAATTCCCAAAACAAATAAACGTAAATCATCTTCATATTTCTTAACATTATTCTTGACCAATTCTGAAATTTCTCCTACATTCCAAACATTTCCATCTGTTATAAGAAAAACAGCAGTTGGAATATTTGTCCTTTTATTTTCAAAAACCCATTTTAATACTTGATAAATTTCTTTTCCACCATAATTTTCCATCATAGTACGAACAAGTAAAAGAGCTGTTGATAATGATGAAGGAGAATTTGGTTCACTTTGTTTAAAAAGAGGATCAAAACGTTCTCCGAACGAAACGATATTAAAATAACAATCTTCTGGAAGAGATCGTAATAATAATTCAAGTGCTGATGATGCTTTTTTTATCGATGATCCATTCATTGATTCCGATCTAAAAACAATTTAAATATTATTTATGTTATTTCTGTTTCTGTCTTAAAAAAAAATGATTGTATATTATGACTTACCTATCTACTATAAAAATCAATTCTGTTAATACTGGATTTACTGCAAATTTAGGAACTAAAGTTAACATAAGACATTTTGTATCTTTTTCTGGATCATGTTCAATAAAAGCTCTTGGTTGATCAAGACCTAAACTTTTTATAATCATTACGAAATCTTTATCCAAATAATTTATTTGTTCTCCCAGTGTAATCCTTGAAATTTTAGGATTTCCATTAATATTTATTTCACAAGAAATAAAATGTGAAGGTGATTCAATATTAGTTATTACTGATGTCATTTTACATTCAATTAATAATGATAATTCAGGTTTTACAAAAGAAGAAACTCCAAATCCAACAAATTCTTGATTATGTATATTACGATCAATACCATATTTTGGTGCTATGGCTGTAGGTAATACGAAACGGTTTTTTTCCGTTTCTTCATCATGTTTAAGTTCCACTACATATGAAAATTTTATAATAACTATTTGTCCCGGTAAAATACTTCCAATAGAACATTCAAAAATATCAGCATGACGTTCTTCCAATAAGTAAGCACCGTGACCTTTCTAAAATAATTATAGTTTAAAATAATTTAATAATTGGAATCAAAAAATTTTTAAAAAATTTTAAAAGGAAAAATTAATTTATCAATTACTTCATTCATATCATTATATTCTATTATAGCTTCCTGTGCTTCTTTAACGACACCCTGAACTTTTTTACCATCAATTTCCGCTTCAAAAACACAAACAGCCGCAGATTCATTAATTGGAAATTTATAAGTGGCTTTAATTACATCTGTTTCAACGTTCTTGTATGTTTGAGTGATCTTTACTGCGGATAAATATAAAAGAAAAAAATTAATTTATACTGCATTAATCAATCAAAATTGAAAATGAAGATGATGATGGATCAAAACATTTACCTTCAGCTATCATATCAACAACTAAAAAAAAAAATCAATTTAATTGAAATTTTTTAATAAAAAAATGGGGGTACCTCTTTTTTTTTAATTTTTACGTACCATAAGCTTCAGCTGAAACATTTTGTAAAGAAACTGGCAGTAGTCTATTATAATGTGAATAAGTTAAACCAAAAGACATTTCGTTAATTTCGTTATTTGGCTTAAAGAAAAAAAAATTTTTTAAAAAATTCTCTTATATATAGATAATGTCACATGACTAGACTAGACAAAAAATTTTTCTTCGTGTCATGTACATTGGCACATGACAATTTTTGTCTTTTTTTTTAGTTATAAACCTATATGCCAACATATATTAATAGAAGTAAATAAAAAGATTAATTGATTTAAATAATTTATACAACTAGCAAGAAATATTTATTTAAATATTACTTATAATTTAATCACTGGAATTATAGAGTATTATGCGAAAACATTAATCTGGGATTAATATAAGCATATTATTCTTAGCATTGACATTAATTATTATAAGTTAATTTATTGTTGCACATTAATCCAGGAAAAAATAGGATCAAAGTAAATAATCACAAGATCAATTATTCTATGTATTAATTTCATTAATCCACAGAATAATTACAGATTCATTACGTGTGATTTTCCATAATAGATAGTAATTTTACACATACATTTTTATATAAATAGAATCAAATTCTTGCTCATTATTTTAGAGACAAATTTTACATTGCACTCATTAATAATTAAAAACAAAATGAATCCTTCTATATTTAATAAATGCAAAAAATATTCATGTATTTGTCAACGATATCGACCAAAGGAGAATGTACCAAATGAATGTTTGTATTGTCACCATAGTATTGGATATCACGAAACATCAACATCAATTGATACCACAGAATATCCTTATGGTTCATGCATTCAAATTCAATGTGGATGCCAACGGTTTAAAAATCAAAGTTTAAATTCTTTATTCTGTATTCATTGTAACCATTATGATGGATTTCATAGTGATTGGCCACTTAAAACTAATAATAATCCTGGTTCTGATAATAATATTAGTTCTTACAATAATTTATCTTTACTAAGTCAAGTTTCTCCCATCACTTCTACAAATGTTAGTGCAATGTCCTTAATTTCTTCTCAAGTAAATACTATACCCATTAATAATAGAAGACAGCGTAGTCACATTCCTGCTAAACCTGCACCTTATAAAAGCAATTCGAATCGTCGTGCCGGTAGAAATCCTGCAACTATTTTAAATATAAATGTTATAATTTGTTTTAACCAAGAAATACCAAATAGAATTCCTAAATTTGATTCCCCCTTTTGGAATGATTTAAATTCTCGAAATTTGATAAAAAATAATATCAGAATTTCTAATAATTCCTCGTCTACTGAAATCTATAATTTAATTCTTAATTTATTTTCGCATCATCTGAATGGGAAAAGATGGTGTTTATTTAACGGTAGTACTGGTAAACTAAGAAAAGTTGTATATAATGTAAATAATAATAATAATAATATAATTAATATTAGCAGCAGTAATTTTAATTTAATTGAAATAAATATTTTTTAGGAAATAACTTGCGATTTAATTAGACAGAACATAACTAAAACGAAAAAAATGTATATCGGTATGTGTAAATTTATGAATTGGACTAAAGATTATTAATAACGTTTTTTATTTTATAGCTCCGGATACTTTAGATACTTTTGATATTGGATTAAATTCTGCAATTCATTCTGAAAATTTATCGCCCGCAACTCACTCCAAAGCAAATCCTAAAGATTCATTATCTACATCTCAGCCTGAAAATCCATCATTCACGATTCATTCTGAAATTCAAAATGAAATATCTATCTTAACTGAAAGAAATCTTCCTTTAATCACTACTATTAATGATGGTAAGTGTAATTAGTTTATATTCATTTTTTAAATTTATTATTAATTTCTTTTTATATATAAACGTATTAGATTTTGATTCTTCTGACTGGCTAAATAATATACAATTTATGCAATTTAAGGTTAGTTATCCCAAAGGAGTGAGTTTGTGTAATAATATTATAATATTGTTGATTTGTAACAAACTAACAAAACTACCATTCATAGTAAACATTGAGTAATTAACTTTCATATCTATTTTTGTACTAACTATATAACGTTATACGTAAGATAATCCGAATCTTTGTTTTGTTTTCCAACTAATCACTATCTCGACTTTCCGAAATTTAGTGAGTTCGAATCCGAACCTGTCCCATGATTCGGCTTATTATTCTGGAATTGATCATTATTAAATTTAATTGAAATAGAGTGTTCGTGTTAATTAACAGTACGATTTATTATTTTATAGTTTAATTCTTTTAAATAATACTTTATTTTAACTTCTTATTTTCTTTTTATAACTATCAACTTTTATTTCTTGTCATAAATATGATTTTTTTTTTATTATTGTGATAGTTTTGTTATAAGTTTACGTTGCAAATGGTTTTGATTTTAATGTTTTTGTATAATAGATTTTAATAATCCATCAATAATTATTATTGTGCCTTTACTCATTTAAGGAGAAACCATTACTTTATGTTCTACCATATTTTGTTTATTGCTATTAATTTATATTTATTTATAAATATCCAAGGTTTGCAAAAATATTTTTAATTCGGAACTTGGTCAACTATGACATCGTATAAATTTGTAACCACCACATTGCATGCCAGTGTGAATACCGTTACAATTATTTATAATGTACCTCTATCAAGTAGGTTTCCACCATCGTTTCTACTCAACTAAAAGTATAATGTCCTCCGCGACAATTATATTAAAATTAGCTCCCGATACTATTAACATCCGGGAAATTTTTTAAGTTCTTGATATTATTGACATTTTTATCGTTCTCTATACTTTCAACACAGCTATCATTTCTAGTTAGATCCCACTCACTTTTCGTTTACATTATAAAATCTCACACTAGAATTTATTTCACTAATTTTTTATAATATTAAATAATAAATAAATATAATGAATTACTGATTAAATACAATTGATATATATTATGCGGAGAATGATGGAATCAAAAGTTCAAAACATTAGATTTAGATGAGTGAAAATGGTCTAAATTGATATTCTTTGAATTGGAACATAATGTCGGTAAAACTTGCATAAACGCGTAGATAAGTATAGTAATGTTATTTGTTTTTTCTTTTTAGATTCCTTGAATTATATCATAATAATGGTATTGTTATTAGAATTTCGTTCAAAGAGAATTTCACAGTGAATTTATTGTATAGCACCAAATTAAAAGAGACCGCACTTTCTTATTTGATTCAACATAAATGCGATCATTACATGGATTTCCAGAGAAAAGAATCATTAGTATGGTACAAAATTTTTGACTAGTACCTTTTGGGTGAATGATCTATAGTAATTTAATAGTTGACAAAGATAACGTATAAAAATAAAAGAATCAATTTATTGAGGACTAATCATATTTTCGTTCCAAATAGTGTGTTTATATCATGATTGTATTCATTCTAGAACAATTTATTTATTTCACATAATTGTTTTATAACAGTGGAACCTATCACGTATGATTTTGTGAAAAACTATGCCTTTTAAAAATAAAATAATTTTGATATCGCCGTTATATCAGCTTTATAAGAGGGTGATATCGATTGTCTTGTTCGTTATTAAAGTAAGCATGATATCATTTCTATACAATTTTGCATATAAACTTTTATTTTTGGCTTCTCACATGCATAATGAAATAAGCCAGCAGTGATTCTAGGGTCATGGTCTCGTAGTTGGAATAGATTATATTATGTGACAAAACATTGACATATCATATAACGAGGTTATTGAATTTAAACCTGGAAACAAATGACAGAATTAGTACTAACATCAGGAAGCCAAATAAAAGTATTGTACTGCTTTAATATATGTAAAGCGTATAAAAATACAAAAATAATATATATTATACAATGTCTCTATTGTTTTCTTTGTTTCCGGACCTTTTTATACTAGACTAGTCAATATTTTCAAATAAATTTGAACCAACAGAAAGTTTGAACTTAAGACCCTAAGTACTCATTTTTCGTGATCTAATCACCCAATATCTTGCCCATGAAGTCACATGTACGTTATTATTATCCACGGGATAGGGATAGGTTGAGGTTGGACGACCACTTGAATAATTGAATTATTGGATAATAATCTTTGCAATATTATTCTTCCGGCGGAATTTCTTGACTATTACAGTATTAAAATACATTTCTATGACCTCTTCAACATCATGAGGTGTTACATAATATCTGTCAATGTAAGTATGCTTCTTTGCTTCTTCGGACCATTGGAATCTTAAATAGGTTCGTTCAAGGACTGATGACCATAGTGCGTAATCGAGTGGTTCATCCATCTGTGTTAGAAAAGTTAGGCTAGATTGGGTTATTAACTTTTTCATAATCAGAGTTTTGCGTTAAACTTGTTCTTTCAGTATGTTTGAGAGTAACTATCACAAAAATTTTAATTAAATTTCATCAAGTTAACCATATAATAATACCTAATATACTAAACCAATTTAAAAATTTAGGGCCGTTTTTTCGTATCTTTTACGGGACGGAACTCAACGGTTATAGAAATCCTACACTTTGGTACGTTTTGTTAATTATTATCAGTTATATAGTAAATAATTTAACCATCTGAACTCCTTTTTAATATAGAATATCATAATGATACGGATAATCTGCAAATTAATTTTTAAGAATGTTTTTAGGTGTTGTAGAATATAATAAAGAAATCTCTGAAGATCTTATGACTATGACCATAGGATAGTAGCCGTTGAATTACATTTTGCATCAAAGTTATTACATGTATTCAGTGTTCAAGGAAAGCCACATTTTATTATTAAACCCATCTATTATGAAGATTCTGATATTTTGAAGATTAAGTTCACCGATTTTACTCCACAAAGAAAATTGAAGTAGAGAGTAGATAATGCTGGTAAAGTTGTTAGTCTACTTTTTTACAATGATAGTAATAGATTATAGAGTATTGAATAAGTAAAAAATCGTGAGATGAAATCTAACAAATTAGTCAAAAGTTATCAGAAGAAGAAATAGTAAAACGTAAGAAAAGGTACAAAATTTTCGTATTTAAAGAAATTAATTGATATGATATATATAATTGCTCTTAAAGAATATTTATATACACGTTGATTAATCCGATTATTCGAATAAAGTATCGTTTAGTTGGTATTCTAATAAAGTTATCTGAGTTCTGCTTGATTAAATCTTATTATAGAATAATGACAGGGAAAAAAAGGTTTTATCAGATTTTTAATTTCACCTAATTTCATGAGTAAACATTTCTTTTCGTTTTGTGCATCAAAAGTTTAAAATATTTCAGCCACGAAAAGAATAAATATGTTAGAATTTGAGTACATAATAATCAAATTTATTTACTAAGGGTGGGAATATCGCTAATTGTAATGTAACTATATAAATATTAGTAAAAACTGAACGTGAATGTATTAAGACGTATTATAATAATAGCAAATCAATAAATCGTAACTATTATAAACGGCAAAAAAAATACTAGATGCCTAGTGTGATAATTTAATTTTAGATACTCCAGATATTTTGATATTAGACATTATAAAAGTTCATTATTACTTATTAGGAAATTCATATGAAAACTTGTTATAACTAAAAAAAATTATATATTTCCATATCCGATATATCGTTCATTGTGTTTAGTAAAAATGGGAAACTTATAAACTCCAATTCCGTCCCAATATCTATTTATTCTTATAAAAAAAATCACAAAACTAAAAATAGTCCGATCATTATCCTCTGATCCGTAAAGATCCTTTGTTTTTCTTTATTGTCAATGATTGATCATCTGGGAGTATTTTTTTTTATCGACCCTAGATGATCCTTTACTCATAAAAAGTCGGGGTTGACTTTATTTATAAAGCTCAAAAGTCGGGTTGACTTTACGGAGCTTTATTTATAAAATATCCAATACTGCGAGGAATTTTTTTTTCAAGTCTATTCTACAACCATGACATCGCACCATCCTAAAACTGGAAATTGCCCATGCCAATGCGAATGTCATTGCAATTATGGTATTTCTATTCAAAACGATACAAGATTCACAAGTCAATTAGATACTGTTGCTACTTTTATTAAAGGTCTGCATAACTATATTCCTGCACCTCCAAAACGTCGTGCCGGAATTTTAAGAATAAATATTATAGTATGTCTTGACCGTGTATCTAGTATTATTCCAAAAATTGGCTCTCCTATTTGGGACGATTTGAAATCACGAAATATGATACAAGAGAATATCGAAATTCCTACGCACTCATCTTCAACTGAAATTAATGAAAAGATCTCTAATTTATTTCCCGATTTGAACGGGAAAAGATGGTGCTTATTTAACAGTAGTTCTTGTACATTAAGAAAAGTTTCATATAATGTAAGTAAAAAAAAAAAATTCTTTTATCTTCATAAACGAATTTTTTATTGAAATGCAATTTTTAGGAAATAACTTGCGATTTAATTAAACAGAATTTAACTAAACAAAAAAAAATGTATATCGGTATGTATAAATTGTAAATTTAATATAAAATATTGGAAAGATAATTTTTTTCTTAATATTATATTAAAATTAGCTCCCGATGCTGTTGACATTCCGGAAACTTTTTACATTCCTGATATTAATGAAATTACTAATGCTTTTGATGTTCCCGATGTTATCGATGCTTTTGATTTTCCCGATGTTACCGATGCTTTTGATTTCCCCGATGCTTCCAACGTTACCGATGCTTTCGATGTTCCCGATGCTATTGATGTTCTTGATACTTCCGGCGTTACCGATGCTTTTGACGTTCTCGATGCTTTCAACGTTCCCGGTGCTTTTTTTCCCAATGATGTTACCGATGCTTTTGCTTTCAACGTTCCTGATGCAAATTAGTCTTTAAATTTAATTTAGCCAATCTTACTAATAATACTTATAGATAGTTTTACAACTATCACATCTAGTTAGATTTAGTTTAAAATTTTTGAAAACTTTGATCCCGGACGTAAGTTCTTTTCTAAATAGAGGAAAGGTAATATTCCTCCAGGAGAAAAGCTGTATGTTGGCAAATTTGTATGATGTTTCTATTGTCTACCATAAGAAAAGGTAATGTCTTTTCCTGTAAATTTAAACTTCATTAATCCTATTATTGTAACTTGTAAAGATTATTTTATAGACGACCAAAAGAGGAAGAAATTTATATTCCTAATTTCATGGATTACTTCTGTCTTTTCTCTCGTATTGGATAAGTATCTTCTTATTTTTACTTTTTTTTACTACTTGCATCACTATATTTTCTTTTCATTTTCTCAATACAGGACTAAAGTGATATGCCCATATGCTAAAAAATTTGTGAGCATATTCCAACCACGAAAAAACTAGAATTTTTGATAAAGTAAATATGCAGTTTATGGTTTTAATACGTATTAACAATATTGATATTAAATTAATTATATTTGTACTTCGAGTTTATAGGAGGATTAAACATTACTAACATGTTAAGAACATGAAACATAAGCCTGAAAAACAAAAGAAAAGCAAAAAGTGAAAGTAAGTTGTAATTTTTTTTTAATACTTGGTTAAGGAAAATTTTAATTATTTTATTTTTATTTTATTTTATTTAATTAAATAATTATTATGATATGTAATGTAATTTTTATTTGATAAAATACATTATTGTGTACATATAAAATTCGGTATACGTACCGGAATATTGGACCGTAAATAAAATCTTTGGCATAAATATATTCATTCTATTAATGTGTTAGTTATAATTTCAAAATTATATTTTTGTGGAAAATAAAGTCAATCCTCATACTGAATCGAATGAAAATATCTAACTGAAATTGTCAATAAAAAATGAATGATACAAAAATTATCGCGTAAAGTCGCCAAAATTTTATTCCCTGTTAAGACCGAAAAAAAAAGCCCGATTGGCATCCGAACTGCGCCAATAATATTGACCTCATATTTTCTTATTCACTTATAGTCTACTGTATTGAATTATTTGATTTGTAGTAATTGTTAATTTAAAATTTTTATTCTCATAACTAGGAAATTACTAGTACTTTAAACAATCAAGTTACTGTACATAATAGTTCTTAAAAATAAAGATATTATACTATGTACATTTAGGGATGCACATGATTTAAACCAAGATGTTTTAAAACAATTTAAATCAGATTTTTATTGTTTTAAAACTTTTTTTTTTTTTTTAAAACATTGGTCGGATTTTTGCCATCCCTATGTACATTACATATCTTTATGAAGTTAATTACTATTAAGGATACATTTGTTATGATTGTCTTCAATTAGGGTTGAATTGAACGGATAACTTCTTATATCCGGATAATTTGAACGGATTTTCGGAACTACAATTCACGCATATATATTTAGTAATTGACAATTTTTTATTTTGCTTTAACTGAAAAAAGTTCATAACAGGGATTATAACTTTCAAGATATTCATTTAATGTAAAAGATATAAAATTATGAAAAGAATTATAATATTATTCTATTTTATTTTCTATTAAGCTCGTTACAATTTTTTTTTAGATAGTATTTTTCTTTTAAACATATTTTTTAAATTCTTTAGTAAATTCTGTTTAATTACAATTTCTTAGGTACAATATATAAGAAAGTACTGGTGGTGGGGCAGCCAGCCTGCCAGCATCAGAACGATAAGCCCTCATCTCCAGGTTTAAACCTAGATGGTGGGTTCCAGGGAGGAGACGGACATAAACTTCAGACCATATAAAACTTCAGACCATATATAAGGTACTACATTATTTGTGAATTTCGCTTTCAAAGATTTACGTACAAAAAATTTTTTTTTTTTTTTGTTAAATACATTTATTTTATTTCAAGAAAGGCAGGAAAACTGCTTAAAACGATACAAAATTACAGAGGTAATATCGTATATACATGATAACTGAGTATACTAATTCGACTGGACCCACCCTTCATAAAAAAAAAAAGATCTGGCAACAGAGACAAAGTCGCTGTACCAGGAAACGAAAGATTTTTTTTGTTAAATACATTACGATAAAGCAAATAAATAATTCACTGCTGAATGAAAATCATGTGAACCAAACCCAAAATTATCAAAGCACGAATTTATAAAAAAAGTTTATTACAGATGATGACTCAAATTGAAGGAGAAATATTTGGTAATGACACAAAATGATTTACTAATTTTAGCTCAAAATATTTATTTATTCAAGCAACGTCAGGGACATATGAAAGAGTTTGTTATGCTGGATTGATAAAGAACGAATACAGGAGGATTGTTTGAGAAAGATGGATGATGCTTATTACGTAATATTGTTGTTTTCATCAGGTATGGTTTGTAATAAAAATCGTTGTGCATTACTAATGTTATATGCCGTGTTGCAGCATTTATTGCACTTAAAGTGAAATGAATTTCACAAATGTAAAGACAATAACGACACAAGTAATTTTCGATTATTTTCTAATAAATAGAAATTTCTAATTCAGTCGAAAAATATTTATTATATGAAACTCCTTAAATGTAATGTTTATTCATTGAATAACGAGTTATTCAAATTGTTTCTTTGTAAGGATTTATTTTTTTGGGTAGGATCATCCGAGAAAAATTTTTTTTCGGCTCCCGGATGATCTTCGTTACCATTGTTATAAAAATTCATAATTAGTCTTAATATGGACAACAAAATATATTGGCGAAAAAAAATCTTGGATGGAAGATCGACAAAGTGCGTAGCCAGATGTGATGGATTTAATTTATAAATATCCAATTTTTTCAATTTTTTTCATACCTTAATCATCAATTTTACAACAATGCCATTGTATTATCCATGCAAATGCAAATGTGAATGCCATAAAGTATCCTTATCAAATAGGCGTAACTACGCTTCTGTGTCTTACACACCTTATAGAATCAATTCGAATCGTCAAGTATTGAAAATAAATATGTTAATATGTCTTGATCAAAATGTAACAAATATTATTCCAAAAATTGGCTCTCCTCTTTGGAATGATTTGAATTCTCGTAATATGATAAAAAGGAATATTGAGATTTCTACCCGTTCATCTTCAGCTCAAATCTACGATCTGATTCATCATTTATTTCCCAATCACCTGAACGGCCAAAGATTGTGTTTGTTCAATAGTAGCTCTGGTATACTAAAAGAAGTCTCGTATAACGTAAGTAAAAAACTCTAATTTTATTTTATGAATGAATTTAATTGTAATGTAATTTCTTTTTTTTTTTTAGGAAATAACTTGCGATTTAATTAAACGAAACTTAACAAAAACTAAAAAAATGTATATTGGTATATAAAAATTTGTTTAAAATATTTGAATATATAATTTTTCATATATTTATTTATTATATATTTTGAAATAGCTCCCGGTGCTATTGGCATTCCGGAAACTTATTACGTTCCTGGTGTTATTGACATTACCAATGCTTTCGATATTCCCGATGTTACCGATGCTTTTGATTTTCCCGATGCTTCTAACTTTACCGATGCTTTCGATGTTCTCGATGCTCTTGATGTTCTTGATACTTCCGGCGTTACCAATGCTTTTGATGTTCTCGATGCTTTCAACGTTCCCGATGCTTTTTTTCCCGATGCTTTCAACGTTACCGGTGCTTTTGATAATTCCGACGTTATACCAATGCTCCCGATTATTTAGCAGCTATAAATAGTTCTCCAGATTAAATTAAAAAGTTTCGGTGAGTAAAAAAAAATCTTTTTTCTTCAATTGAAGTTAAGCGGATTTTAATTTAAATGCGATTTTTTTAGACAAAATCTTCCCCCCCTCTCCAATGGTTGTTTTGGACGTTGCCAAATAAGCATTTTTTTTTTTAATGATCCAATGTCCAATTTCCGAGATGTAAATTAAATTTAGTCAATTAATTATATTAGAGTGGATACCTTATGGTGGATTTTTAGTATTGAATTTATTGTAAATGGAGGATTTGGCAAAGTGCAAAATGGAATTGATGGAAGTATATATGTGATTGGATAATGAAAACGAAATTAGAATTACTGTGATCAGATGATATATTTTATTTATACAAAAAATACAAAAGACAAAAAAATTATAGTGAAAAAAATAGATAGAAACGAATATAGTGGAAAATCCATCAGAGCTCTAATATCCATATATAGAATATAGTAATTACTTGGATGCCATGCTTCCAGTACTAATATACTAATACCAACCACACGCCGATAAGACACATTAAATTAACAGATTAATGACAAGTGGCAATCTGGAAGGATTCATAAAATGCTTTACGTATATTCTAAGAAAAAGGTAATATAATTTCTCATAAATTTAGACTTTATTAATCCTACCTTATTTTATAGGCGACCAAAGAGGAATTCCTAATTCCATGGATTACATTCTCGTGTTGGATAAGTATTCTCTTATTTTTACGTTTTTACTTGCATCAAAAAATTTTTTCGCTTTACATTTTCTCAATGCAGAATTAAGTCCTTCGATACCACATAACATTACAAATTTGTGAGAAAATTCCAATAACAAAAACTAAAATTTTGTATGTGTGCATCTTAATGATTTTAAATACGTATTACGATAGTAATTTAATTTGTAAAATTAAATAGTAGTCTTGAAGCTACAGAATTTATAAGAAGGACCGAAACATTAACCTATTAAGAACATGAAACATAAACCTGAGAAATCAAAAGACAATTAAGAATGAAAGTAAGTTATAAATTTTTTAATATTTGGATATGAAAATTTTTAATTTTAGTAACACATTGCATACCAGACAAAAAAGTATTTTTAATTTAAATCAAAAAAAAATCTATTTGTATTAAATTATTGAAAGTGTAAATATATATACTGTATGTACGTATAAATAAATAAAATTTATCAATAAATAAACCAATACAAATAAAATGATAATAAATCATAAATATTTTTGTTAATTTTATTTATATCAACTGTGGAGACTTTAAAAGTAATTATTAACACGATTTTTTAGTATAAACAAAATTTCTGTATCTTGGAAACTATTACAGTCAACTAAGGATATATCAATGGCGAAACTACAATTTACGCATATGTATTTTTTTGTTTCAACTGAAGGTTCAAACCGATGATTCTTAATTTCAATTATAAATGCAAACGATAACTATAAAATTATGGAGAATATTATATTATAGTTTTTCAATTCTTACTTTGGTAAGTTTATTTTATTTACAAATTCTTGGGTGCAAAATTTTTACCTTGTGAACAAGAGTTACGTGGTAGAGTTGCATAAATTTTATTTGTTATTGTTATTTTATGATTATATAGTAGACTTTTTTTTGCATTACCTGAAAATAAGTTTTATTGGTTTTTCTTGTGATTTAATCAAATGCTATTTCAAAACTAGGAATGCAAATATAAATGACTAATGTTTCGCCATTATGCAGTTTTTTTGAAGGCGAGTCAGTACTATCTCAAAATTATATTAATGTTTTTTTTGATATTAATTATAATTTAGCATATATTAGGCATCGCCACTTCACCCGACGAAACCTTTTAGTACATCTCTAGTTAAAAGTATATAGTTCAATCGATTTTATCATACACATACAATATAAATATATTTTCATCGTCAGTATATATTATATTCAACATAAAAATATATATTATTAGTTACCTTTAAATTATGAATTAAAATAGTAAATAATGTTTATACTGTAGTACCTGTTGAATCAGGAATTACCATGTCGATTAATTGTGAATCGAAAACTATTAAGCAACTAAAATTAATATCCAAAATTCTTTTAAAAAAATAAAATAAAATAAAAATTTTACCTTCATCACTAATATATGAAGTAATAATGGATGAATTAACAGGTTTTGGTAATAAATTACTAAATGAAAATGGTCTACTAGTATATATAGCATCAGAATTCTTTTCATGTTTTGTATTTCATTATCAGCTTGTTTTTTTTATAACCAAATTAAATATAATGAAGATCATTAATATAATTTTTAGATAATCAGACGTTTATAGTGCGCAAAACACCGTTAAACTTTAAAATACGATCAACTATACAATAAATTTTTTTTAAGTGACCCTGAATCAAAATAGATATCATTAATTTTTTTTTAATATACGCGAAAATATGATGAACCAGTATATAAAAATTTGTTTTCAAATAATAAAACGATGTTTTAAAAATAGCCACATATGTTAAAGTAGGTTACTTATAAATATGGCTCTTATATTTAAATATGAAAATCATAAAAAGCCTTTTATGTATTTTATACATATACACATAACATCCGCATAACTCCAGTTTTAACATTAGATGAGTTCGCTGAAACTATACAGTATATACATAATTCTAGTCAGGTACGAAGCAGAACTACACTTCATATTTAGATCCTACTTCTATACTGGTATATCCGTTATTAAAGTTCTTGTAATGATTATTTTGAATGAGATATAAATTAATATTACAGTATTACTATATAACTGGATCGCCCGGAAGTGATGAATAATATATGAATCATGTAATATTAATATCACTTTTGTGATTCGAGTATTTCAATTAGGATATTTTCATCATGCTGGCAGACTAAGCAGACATAAGATTAGTAGGAAAATGGCGACCAATAGATATATTGAGGAGGAAGTTAGTAATGGCGAGTAAAGCCGAATTTGTCAGATTTTAAAAAAAACGACATAAAAGATTTACGTTACGGTGTACCGTTTGTACATTGGCTAATATCTCAAGAGTTTTTATGTACAAAAAAAAATTTTGCTACAGCGGAAGAACATATTTATGTATTTTATGTATTTTATTAAATTTTTATTTACACAAATACGAAAATCTTATTTTTAAAAATCTTGGCATACAGTCCAATAAAATTTTTAGTAAATATATTAAATAAAATGCACATTCTAGTATTTTGTATTTTTTACTTCTGTAAATTTGGGTTGAGTTAAAATCAGTTTATCTTGAATCATTATATTGAATTCTAACTGTAATATATATTTTTATAGCTACAAGTCAAGAGAGAAAGAACAAATCAATGTGTTTTATATTTTTATATTATTTTAATCACGAAGTAAAATTAGAATTGCTTTTTTGATAGAAGAATATAAAATCCTTTCACAATCAGATAAATACTTTTTTCTATAGAAAATTACCCAAAAAGTTATTTATTATTCATAAACAGGAAATTCTAAGAATACTTATCACTCAATCTAGGAAAGAGAAATAAACGCGTCAAAAGTTCAAAAGATGATCCTCATTGTTTATGAAAATATGTATGTTTTGATTCCGGATTATGGATACAAACTTCATAATTTCTTTTTTCATTAAATTGGTTATTGTAAATACTATCAAGTATAATTATCTTGTAAAGATGAAAGATGAATTGAATTCTTCCGAGTGGTCAATCAATATGTTATCTAAGAACACATTGTTTTTTGATTTTTTCTTTCAGACTTTCACTTTTACTATGACAAATGTAAATAAGAATTGTGTGACTATCAATGTTTCCTACCAAAAGAAAATGTTCCAGATGAATGTTTTTATCGCGATCATAGCGATTTCACGAGTCGTTAAAAATCAACATCACAAAAAAGTTCAATGTGGACGCCAACGTTTTAAAAGTTTAGATCCTTTACTTTGTGTTAACCGTAAGTCTGAATGTGATTCCATAGTGGTTTACCTTTTCTACTCAAAGTACACAAACCAACCATTCTTCTCAAGTTGTTATTCATCGTGCTCGTAACATTTTGAAAATAAAAATTGTGTCTTGATCAAAATGTATCAGAATGATTTGAATTCTCGAAATATAGTAAAAGAGAATATCGAGAAATCAACACATGATCTCTAATTTATTCCGATCATCTGAACGGGAATCAACAGTAACTCCGGCATATTAAGAAAGGTTCTATATAATGTAAAAAAGATGCATATCGACCAGTATATATATTTTTCATAAAATTGAATTTATACTGTACATAAGATTAATGTTTTATTTATTAAAATAGCTCCTGAGTATTTTAACTTTAATGGTAATTTTTGAATTTGTTACCACTTCCATCGTCCTTTTCTTTCCATCTGCAAAAAAATCTTTTGAGAATAACGTTTCATCCATTCATATTCAATATTTGTCTTTATCCAATTATAATTTCTTATATTTCCTTCAGATATAGGCTCATATTCAACATTACATTTCTTATCACTTTAATTTTATTCTTACCCAACTACATTTAGCTAATTATACTTAACACACACATCCAATATACGTAATAAACAACATTTTTCTAAACATTTTATAATCTTTTCGACTTCGCAAGTTATATTTTATCAATTTCTCATTTTCACTTGTCATTTTTATACCCTTTTCTTTTACTTCTATTACTTTTCTAATTCTATTACTTTTCTTCCTCGTTTTTCTTTTGTCTTAAAAGTTCTAATATTTGTCCAAATTCGTCTTTTACAAGTTCTTTTTTCGTTTGTTCTAAAAAATCATTAATTTCTTTTGACAATCCTTCAATATCTTTATTTCTATTTTGTATTCTTTTCTGTGCTGACCATATCTTTCTTTTATCACTCTGATTTTCTTCTTCTAATTCTTCCATTCTATTTTTATACGACATTGCTGACTTAATGTACTCTTCTAAAGGTTTCTTTTCTTCTTCATTCCCTTCTTCAAACCTTTTAACAATTTCATCTAAAACAGACATATTTTTTCTTTTCTTTAATTGACTCATGACAATAATTTCTTCAATGATTTCAAATTTTAATTTATATTACAAACAACATATTTTCTTTTCCAATTTATAATTTTTCCTTTTCCAATTCTAGTAACACAAATTATGATAATCAATTTTTGATTTTTTTGAAAAAAAAAATTTCAAAATAATGGTTAAAGTTCTAGTATTTGGAGCTACAGGGTTTATAGGATTTTCCGTGGCTCAAGCATTAGCTCGTTCGGGACATGAAACATTTGGGTTATATCGTAAAGTCGAAAAAACAAAAGAACTAGCTAAAAATGAAAGTAAGTTTATGAAAATGTAGCCTAGTTTTTGTAAACAATTATGAGTGAACGTACAAGAAAAAAAGAATTTTTTTTTAAATATTTTTTTTTTGTAGTTTTCCCCGTACTTGGAGATACAAATGATGTCTCAACATGGATTCCAACAGCAATACAAGCTGACGTGATAATTGATGCTACATCACCATCCAACGAACCAACAAAACATGCAAAAATTATATTAGATGCAGTAATAGAAATTGGTAAAAAAAGATTGGAAAATAATGAACCAGCATTAACATTTATTTATACTTCAGGATTATGGGTATATTTTTTTTAATTGTATATATGTTAATTATAAATTTATCATATTAAAATTTATTTTAATTTAATAGATATATGGAGGGCTTCCATATGATATAAAATATGAGTCAACACCATTGAATACAGATGTAAAATTAGAACTCTGGAGACCATCGATGGAACAAGCCATAGTTGAATCAAAATTTATTAACGGTATAATAATTAGACCTGGAGGCGTCTATGGTAAAAGTGGTAGTTTAACAGCATTATGGTTCGAAGATGCAATTAAAGGAGAATTGTGCGGTATTGGTTCAAAAGATGTTAGATGGAGTTTAGTACATGTTGATGATTTGGCCGATTCTTATGTAAGAGCTGTAGAAAGAGCTGAATTAATTAAAGGCCAAAAATTTATTATTGTAAATAATCAATCAGAATCGATAGGTGATATGTTTGATGCTATTGCTAGAATAACCCAATACAAAGGTAAAACTATAAATTTTTGTCATTATTTTTTATTTTTTTTTTTATATTTTGTTAATTGGTTTTTTTTTTATTTATTCTTTCTTTAATTATTTTATAGGAGAAGTTAAGTATAAAAGTCCTACAAATGAATTTGAAGAAGCAATGGCAAGTACAGGAATTTTTTCAAATAAAAAGGCCCAAGCAATACTTGGATGGAAACAACGTCAATTAGGGTTTGTTGACGGAATTAACACTTGGTGGAATAGTTATAAAGCATATACTCAATGAGAACAATGTATAAGAGAATGTTTTTTTATTGAATAAAGAAATGCATTATATTTTCCATATTTTCCATAGAACATATGTAATATTACCCAAAACTTGAAATATGGTGCCGGAAGTCTATACTCGTCAATCACGTGATTTTGTTTCAATTTTCTCTAGGGGTGTGATTTTCTAAGCCGATTCTATATCATGTGATCCGGAATTCAGCCAATAAAAAACCGGGATTTCTTGTGTAAAGTACTAATAAAAATGCGGTTTTTGAAAATTTATTATTACAAATAACAAACAGGATAAAACATAAGAAAAAGTAGATTTCAGCAATAAATGGCAACTACCATTTCATAAAAGTCATACATTGATAAAAAATTTTTTTAAAAATAAAATTACATTTGATTCATATTATAATTCAGGCTGACATCACAATGCATGGAGTTGGCCCAAATTATCATAAGTTTTGGCCAACATATTTTGTTTCAAATTTGGGCCGATCATATGAAAATCATCAATTTTAACTTTTTACGTAGATCTTCTTTATAAAATCTGTAATTTGATAGAGCTTACCTCAAAGAATAAAGTTACCAGTTATTTTTTCTAAATTGTATTTTTTTTAAGAAGTTGAGATTTTAAGTGTTACATTTTTAGTTCGAATGGTTAAAATTTTAAATTTTTTAATCAAAGAAAATAAGTTAACCCATATGCAGTTAGTGGATCAGAAAGGACTGTAAACATAAAGAGGGAGTTCACGCCCAATGAGTTAATTATGATTTTGGCAAAGCCATTTTTAACTTAGTCCTTCATTAAGAATGATGTCTAAATCTCTGCGGCTCTGCCCTTCTAGCCTAAAACGTTTAACATAAAGCTTTAGATTTGTAAGAAATTTGATTCTAGAAATTTAAATTATTTTTTGTAATGTAAGTATAAATGGTTTGGGTTTGGGGATGATAATTTTTTTTAAAAAAAACTTTCGTCTAAAAAAATGGTTAAAGTTTTAGTACTTGGAGCCACAGGGTTCATAGGATTTTCTGTAGCTCAAGCATTAGCTCGTTCAGGACATGAAACATTTGGGTTATATCGTAAAGTCGAAAAAACAAAAGAATTAGCTAAAAATGAAAGTAAGTTATAGAATATAGAAATAGAACCTATCTTTTGCAAAGTTTATGATGAATGTATATAAGAAAAAAAAAGAATTTTATAGAAAGCAATAAAAAAAATTAAATTTTTTTTTTTGTAGTTTTTCCTATACTTGGAGATGCAGATGATGTCTCAACATGGATTTCTATAGCAGAACAAGTTGAAGTGATAATTGATGCGACATCACCATTCAATGATGGAGAAAAACATACAAAAATTATATTAGATGCAGTATTTGAAATTGGTAAAAAAAGATTTGAAAATAATGAACCAAAATTAACATTTATTTATACTTCAGGAATTTGGGTAATATTTTTTACTGTAATATTTGTTAATTATATAAAAATTTTAAAAAATTTTTTTTTAATTTAATTTTAATAGGTATATGATGGAAGTTCATATAATGTAAAATATGAATCAACATCATTGAAAACGGATAAAAAATTGATGACTTGGAGACCATCAATAGAAAAAGCCATAGTTGAATCAAAATTTATTAATGGTATAGTAATTAGACCTGGAGGTGTTTATGGTAAAAGTGGTAGTTTAACAGCATTATGGTTTGAAGGTGCAATTAAAGGAGAATTATTTGGTATTGGAACAAAAGATGTTAGATGGTGTTTAGTACATGTTGATGATTTAGCTGATTCTTATTTAAGAGCTGTGGAAAGAGCTGAATTAATTAGTGGTCAAATTTTTAATATTATAAATAATCAATCAGATTCAATCGGTGATATTTTAGAAGCTGTTGCTAGAATTACAGAATACAAAGGTAAAAATACTTTTATTTTACTAAATATTAATTATTCTGTTTTTTAATTGCATTTTATTCGATCTTTATTTATAGGAGAAATTAAGTATAAAAGTCCTACAAATGAATATGAAGAAGCAATGGCAAGTTCGGGAATTTTTTCAAATAAAAAAGCTCAAACTATACTTGGATGGAATCAACGTCAATTAGGCTTTATTGATGGAATTAATATTTGGTGGAATAGTTATAAAGCATATACTCAATAATGTTAAATTATATTTAGGAGAATATATATTAAATAAATAAATGCATTATATTTTCTATAGGGTTTATATAATGTTTATGTACGGTAATATTGACAACACTTGAAACATAATAATTTGAGCATTCCTCAGTAAGGATAACTTTTTTTCTTGTTGGAAAAATTTTTTTAATCAAAGAAAAAAAGATAGATAGAGTTGACCCAGTTAAACTAATAAAGTATTAAGATTATCATTACTACCCAATAAAATATTAGATCTTTAATTTTTGCACAATGCTGTCATTAAAGGTGTCGCAAGAAAGGCTCCCAATCTACGTGAGAGAACTAAAATATGTATGCGATTAGCGGGTCAAAAAGAATGAGTACCGTAAAAAACACAAAAGGGTGTGAATATAGTGATATAGTAACTGTTAACATGATTTCGAGATTTTCGGGCAAACAATCAAATTTTGATTGCCATTTTTAATTTAATACGAAAAACGATATATAAACCTTTTGCATCCCGAAATCTAGCCGTAATACGTTAGCACAGATTATTTTTAATTTATTTTTGATTTGTAAAAAATGTTATTTTTAATTTCGGTTTTTTTTTGTAATGCAAGTATAAATGGCTTGAGTGAAAATTTTTTTTTCGAAACAAAGGTTAAAGTTTTAGTATTTGGAGCTACAGGATTTGTAGGGTTTTCCGTGTCTCAAGCATTAGCTCGTTTAGAACATGAGGGTTAACCAGAAATTACGGAATGTATCAGTCTTTTGTAACCCTTTTTTTCGGCTTGTCCTAGTGACGAATTAACACTTGGTGGAATAGTTGTAAAGCATATACTCAATAATGACAATGTGAATTATATTTAAGAGAAAATATTTTTATTGAAATAAATGCATTATATTACTATAATATTTATGTATTAAGTGTGGCAATATCACCAAGACTTGAAATATAATAATCTGGAATTATGCGAGCATTCTCAGCTAGGATATCTTTTTCTTCAGTAACTCCTGAAAAACAATGGTTAGATGTTAAAAAATTTTTTGAAAAAAAGATACTAGAGTTAATTAACTTACCAGTTAAAACTAATAAAGTACCAAGATTACCATTGATACCGAATAAAATATCAGTACTAAGACGATCACCAATCATGCAAGTACGTTCAGGATTTAAACTTAATTTTTGTACAATACAATCTAACATGGGTTTATTGGGTTTACCTAATACAGCATCAGGATTTCTATCTAATGCTGTAATTAAAGGTGCTGCAATAGCTCCTCCACCCGGGAAAGTTGATCCACTCGCTGGAAATGTTGAATCATCATTGGTTAATAAGAAAAGACATCCGGGATTTGAATGAAGATAAGTGTATGCTTTAGCATATTTTAAATAATTAATATTTATATCGAAACCACAGAGAACTGCTCCAACCTACATGAACAAAAAAAAAGTTAAATATGTGTGAGTCTAGTGGTTACAAAATTATTAATTCTTACTTCAGGATCTTGCTTAATGTTGGCAAAAGTCCAATCGGTACCATCGAATTTAACATCTTCCTAAAAAAAAAAAAAAAAAAGATTCGAAACTTGGAAAAGATATATATACGTATTTTTGATTTGTAACAACTTACGGCAGCACCAGCAAAACGAATTCCTTCAGATTCCAATTCTTCAGTAATTCCAACATCACCTACAACATATACTTTCTTATCACTTGGAAATTTTACAATATTTTTAAGATAATATGCTGAGGCATAAGCTGATCCAAAAATTTCTCCATCATAAATTTCAATATTTAATTTTTCAAATTTTTTCTTATATCCTTTTCGAGATTTTGCACTATTATTAGACACAAATAATAAATTTTTTCCTAATTAAACGAAATAAAAAAAAAAGGATGAAATGATTCGTTTTTTAAAAGATAATCAGAAAAGTTTGATTTAAAAATTTTACCTTTCTTCCGCAATAAGGATAATGCTTCTCTAAGGTTTGGAATTACGATATTTTCAAGCCATATTACTCCTATAATATAATCAATATCGATATAAAACATTTAATCAAAAAAAAAATCAACAAAAAAAAATATCAATTTTTACCATCACAATCGATTAAAAAAGTATCGTATTTATCAAGAAAAGCTTCATAATCTGATGCATTAGATAATTTTACAGGTTTAGACATGATGATCAAGTAGATGTAGTAGAAGTTAAATTATAGAATCATGTCAGTTAAATTATAGAATCATGTCAGTTAAATTATAGAATCATGTCTCCTTATATAATTTATCCTAAAAACCCTATCAGTTATCTATGAATTAGGTTTAATCTATTTTTAGTTTAAATTAATGATCTCGTCCCGTGATAATCAATAAAAATCAAATTATCACTAAAAAAAATTTTTTTTATCTTCAGTTTTTTTTTACAAATCTCTTTAAATTCTTTATACATAAATCTTTGATAGAAGACAAAGAACTTTGATAAAGATGTTCAACCAACTATCGAAATATCAAACTCCAAAATTATATTTTACTCCTGCAATGCAAAGAGCAAGAAAACCTTTTGCTGTAAAAAATGCTATAACTGGCTTATTATTATTTGGATTTTGTGGTGCAGTATGTATCCTTTTAATGAATTAATTGGAAAATTATGAAGAAATAAATAAATAAACGTATATAAATTATATTCTCCTTAACAGAGATATTGATCATTATCATAAAAGTTTCTTATTCAATTATGGCCGTGAAACAGGATGATTTTGATGATGTACCTATGCCATCTCCACCTTCAACTACAAATTCTGAAGAGAAATTAACAAATGATAAGAAATAAAAAATGTAATTATTCTCGATATATATTTTATTTATATATTTAATTATCCAAGAATAATTAATGATTTTTCAAAAAAAAGCTATTAAAAATAAATCCTATTATCAATATTAGTAATATTAATTAATATTTTAACTGAGATCTGAGTATTTGAAGTTCTGGATATTGTGTTTCAATGACAATTAATCAATTTGTGACTACTCACAACTTTGTATCACGCTCAGAAATGTACTGGCGAGATTAAAAAAAAGCGCTGTTCGATGTAGTTAGAACTTTACCAATTAGTATTTTTGATACAAGCTCGAGCAAAAAATTGTACACAACCATTTAAATCGAGCTTATTGATAGAAATATAAGAGAGAATGGATGTAATTTAGACGAGATGAAATATATCATAACTATTGATTTGGGAGGGAAGTTAGTAAGATTTAAGACGGGCGATAAGAAAAGATGATTGTTAGTAGTATAGTAAGCTTAATCATGTAGTCAAACTTTTTTCTCTTGCAAGTTTATGAATAAAGCTTGCCCAATAGCCCTCTGTATTCGTTGTATTCATTGCATTCGGTTATGGTAAACTAAATGAATCAGTATCATTTGATCTCGATTATTTCGAAAAAGCAAAACCAGTACGCGATTGCACATATCTATAATGGTTTTATAATAATAAATTTAATATTACTTATAGAAATTTAAAAAATTACAAATTTGAAACTTGTATTACTAGACTTGTTTAGATAATTTAGCTTAATCGATTATCTGTTATTTAAAAAATGTGAATTTTTCTTGTGCTGAAATTTTATTTTAATTAGATGAATAGGCTATACCATATAAGGAAATAATTATTTGAGCTCTTAATTAGGAATATATAATTTCATAAGTAGATACTAAAAAAGGGGGGTAAATCACGTTATTCGATATAATACGAGTGGATCAATTTTTTTATAAATTAAGTTTAATAAACTTGAAAATCATAAAATAAGTGCATCCTAGCCTGCTCTACAAGTTTACTTAATAAAAAAAGTAGATTTTGAATATTGTTTTGACTTTACATGTGAGCAAAAGAATTTTGCCGATCATATCAAAAAAATGGATAGATAAAAATGAAATGTCAAATAAATCATTCAAATACGGGAAGCCGCAGCAAATCTGCGCCTATTTTCAACAAAATTTAGTGTATCACAAAATATTTACTATTTTAAGAAATCTTTTGGTAATACAGAAAAAGGTAATAAAAAATTTGATGTATAAATTAAACGCTTATATTATAATTATACGCTTATTAAATGCTAAAATCGCATAATAGGTGCGGAAATAAGCGGGTATCATGGCAGATTTGTCCGCTTCGGCTTGCCATATTAAAATCTCATTTTGCGCTCTAAGCAAACTTGCAGAGCAGGCCGCTCTAAAAAAGGAAAATATTGACATTGAGAATTTGTCTAGTACATGTCAACAAAGATCGATTGGTAGTTCTGCGCAGCAATTACTAGTTGACGTCGCAGATATAGTTTCCAATTTTCACTTTCCAATAAACTATAATGTTTGTAGAAACTAATGTCATGTTTTATTTTATTTTTTATCATAATAGAGAAATAGAAAAGGCAAGCAATAATTCGCGTAAAATCGATTTACGCATGAGAATATTTTATTTTTTTCAATTCATAACACAAATATAAAATATATTTTTTTAGTCCTATCTTTCATCTACTACGTTACACGAATTAAATCTATTGTACATGATCATTTAAAGTATCTTATATTTTATTCTTGAATTGATTATATATATCACAAATGGTTTTAAATTATATAATCAGATTTTTTGTTTATATTTTAAAAACTTTTATATAACTTTAAATAAAGAAAATTTCTGTTTACATGAGATATTTCTGGAATAAAAAAGAATAAAATATAAGGATAAAATATGAATTAATCTGGAATAAAATATGAATTAATCTGAAATAAAATATGGATTAATCTAGGATTTAATAATTGGATGTGATGTAATTATTAGTGAAATTTAAGTAATTAATCTGGGATAAAATATAGATCAAATTCAGAATAAATATTGGAAGATCTTGGATGAAATATAGGAAAATCTGGAATGAAATATGGATTAATTTATTTTTATCTAGATAAATTCAGGATTTGATCCAAAGTTTAATTCCAGACTTTTAATCAGTATGGTGCTTCATATATATGCATTAAATACATGATTAAGATTTTATAATATAGTATTATGATATTATTCCTTTAGTATAATGTGGACCAAAATTACTTTATGAAAGTTTACAATTTCATTTATTTCATAAAAAATAACAGCAAAAAATACAGATGAATCAATGTGAAATCTCAGAAAATCTTATAAATAATATAATTTCACAAAATATTTATATAAAGATTTAAAAATTTTTATATAATTTGATTTTAATAGATTTTTTTTTTTTTTTTTTTTTTTTTTT